ATTGCTTGATGGTGATTTTTGTATTATTTTAATCACAAGTGTCTGCCATCATGAAGAGAAAGTCTCAATTGTAAAACAGTAAATTCTTGAAAAACCAACTAGTATTGAACAGATAAGAAAGGGTTGGTGAAAGTGGAATTTGTTTCTCAGTGTTTTATATTTAGATACTTTATATATAACTTTATTTCAATATTGTACTACAGGATCCCAGCTCCCAAAGTGCCCCCCACAGAACACATGGGGGCCCTGATAGGGGACTCGTTTGCTGTCGCTATTGTAGCCTTCAGCATCTCGGTGTCCATGGGGAAACTGCTGGCCAGGAAGCATGATTACGAGGTGACACCAAATCAGGTCAGGAGAAAGTTTTGTTTCAGGATACATGTCCAATTTAGTTTGTGGTGGCTTAACTTGATGTTTGCTTTCTCTGCAGGCCATGTGATTCTACAGGAGATCAGTGTTACAGTATGGGACTTGCTTCAATTTTAGATAACCTAGAGGGAGATCACATTTAATGGATTGGATTCCTATGGTCAGAATTCCTAATTATACAGTATTCTTAGATAGCGTGCATTAAGTTAATCTGCAACAACAACATTGGAAATAGGCCTTTGTACTGCCAATCTTTATTATTACTATGTACATGTATTTAAACTTAAGTATATTATAATTAGTAGTGTAGAGAGCCTATAAATGTACACTCATTTCATGTGCTCAATAAATTATTATTATTATTATTATTAATCCAAGCATTACGTCTGCATTACACATCATCCATGAAAATGACTTTTCTTCATGTAATTTAATCTTCTGTGGTGATGTTGTTATAACTAAAAAAGTGTATGGAGACCTCCTCCAAGACAAATAATGAGCCATTAATTAAGTAATGAATCATCACCCAAGTCTAATCAGCCCATTTCTGAGCTATCCTGAAATATCCTGAAAATCCATCAATGACTTTCTGAGTTAGGATGGTGAGGAATGAACAAACAAATAGAGGTAAATCTCTTTTGGTGGAGACAGTAATTTTAGGAATTGGTCCAATATATTTCAGCTATATTTAATTTTTTTTTTCTCCAGGAGTTGGTTGCCTATGGCCTAATGAACATTTTCAGCTCTTTCTTCAACTGTTTCGCAGCATGTGCCTCCCTGAGCAGAAGTTTGGTTCAAGACAATGTGGGAGGAAGAACACAGGTAATATGGATTTAGGAACTTGTATTGAAATAGATGACAGTGGACTCAAAAATTGTCACTATGATAGCTGTCTTTATTATTCTTCAGTACTAAGATGATAATGAAGGAAAGATCCTAATGAATATACTGATAAAAAACATTATGACAAATTACATGTTATGTGAAATAATTGAATAAATGGATAATATGCATATCAATTTTTTCAACAGACATTTATGTACAGGTATGTGCTTTGATTTATGCATTATGGAAATAGCTGTCATTTCTAATATTTGAATCCAAGAATCTAGGTTGTGTGAAAACGGGCACTGTTTATTTTCTTCACCACATCTACATTTTAAAGATATTTTGCTTTCATTTGCTTCTCTGTTCCAGCTGGCTGCTGTGTTCTCCAGTATACTCATCTTAATTGTCCTCCTTGTCCTGGGACCACTCTTCCAAACATTGCCAAATGTGAGTTCTTTGGATTCCTATAAGACAGAAGATTTTAATGCAATAGTGAATTATATTTTCACATAGAATCTGAGCTTATTGATATCTGCAATACTTTTGTGTGTGTGTGTTAGTGTGTGTGTGTGTGTGTGTTTTTGTGTGTGTATATATGATATTTTTCTAACAAATTTGTAATTTGTGCTCACTATGATTGTAATAAGCTCTCCAACAGAAATCAATTTAAAGACATGGAAGAAGTTAAGGATTACAGATTAGAGGCTGGTTTAACAAAAGATTTTATCATAAAAATTTATTTAAACTTTTTAAACCAAACCTTTGGTCTACAGGCCTTATAAATGGATTAGGCATTAATTAACACTACCCACAGATATTTTAGCTGTAACACTATGGTGGTTGTAAATACTTTATGGTGCACTGGTTGATTCAAGGGTTAAATGGTTAATAAGGGTGTTAGTGCTAAAAGATCTGCGGGTAGTGTTAGTAAATGACAATTAGCATTAATGAGGCCTGATCTATGTCATGTAAAGAAAATGTGTATATTATTATTATTAAAAAATTTGGCAACTCATGTCTTGGATAAATACATGGAAATTGAAATATTAAAATAAATCCAGAGAAATCCATTTGTTAGAAATAAAGCATTGTTCTGAAACACTGATCTTATATTTTTGGTTATATTATGGCTATGGTTTAACCTGGGTCAAAGTGGACTACAAATTTGGTCTGAAAGGTATGATCAGTATTTGGGCTTTAGTTCCGTTGCAAAATGGGTCCCAGAGGCATGGTGAGATGGGCTGTTTATTGTAAACTGGCTCTAGGAAACTATTTTCTCAGCATGCATACATTGATTTTTTTTTTCAGTAAATAATACCTTGTTACATATTTTCAGGCCGTCCTTGCCTCCATCATCCTAGTGGCCTTAAAAGGAATGTTCCTTCAGTTCAAAGATCTCAAGAACCTCTGGCACATTTGCAAGTTTGACTTTGTAAGTAGTTACTTTAATTTGTATATCTACCCATTTGAAAAATTTAGTTATAAATTTATCAAGCTCAAAAAAATTTAATATAGAACATTTAAATTAATTTCTGTCTGAACTGCACTTTTTAACACGAAAAACTTTTATATGCTATACTTTGTATGAAAAGAACTATTTTTGTTACATTTTCAGAAATATTTGGTATTGCATAGTTTAGAAATATGTATTTTAACTAAGATCAACCCTTAAATTAATCTTTGAAAAAGCTTTAACAGACAAGAAATGATTTCTCTGCCGTAGGCTGTAATGATGTTGGTGTCTTCTAGGCTATCTGGCTGGTAACTTGGCTGGCTGTGGTACTTCTGGGGGTGGCCATGGGACTGATCATTGGTGTGGGCTTCTCTCTCCTCACAGTGGTCTTCAGAACACAGAGGTAAAGGGGGGGGGGGTTGCCTGGCTACTTTCTAGGCTTAGTCTGGTAGTGCACTATGTGACCACTGGCCTGATGGTCAGTGAGTGTCCAGTCTGGCCTGATGGCTCATGGTCATTGAGTGTCTAGTCTGGCCTGATGGCTCGAGATCAGTCTGGTCATAAATCTGGACCTTACTGGCCAAGGGGTAGTGTTGAAATACAAGTTATTGATGAGAAGATTTTAAGCAGGGTCAGTTGCTCTATAAAACTGCTGTCCACGAAAAAGTAGAGTTTTTGGTTTAACAATTTGAAAGGTGACTTAGATTCAACATATATTATTTTATTTTGTAATGGTAACTGCAATTTGGTTATGTGACGATGCAGATTAAGTTTAGAAATCTTATGGTTTGACAGTTAAAAAATGGATTAAGTTAATATTTTTAAATAAAGTACTAACGGCTTGGCAGTTTCATTTTGCAGTATTTTTCAGGTTCCAGTCTTCTTGCAATTTAACCTTGAAGTCCACATTTGATACTTATTGTATACATTTATTTTGAAATTTATCAGCGTCAGTGTTGAGTATTCATTTGACTTTCAGCCCATACACCTGTCTGTATGGACGTGTTCCACACACTGACATCTACAGGGACAAGACAGCCTACAAAGTCGTGAGTTGAACTTAATTTTATATGTAAAAAAATAATCATTATGCAGGACCNTTATTTTGAAATTTATCAGCGTCAGTGTTGAGTATTCATTTGACTTTCAGCCCATACACCTGTCTGTATGGACGTGTTCCACACACTGACATCTACAGGGACAAGACAGCCTACAAAGTCGTGAGTTGAACTTAATTTTATATGTAAAAAAATAATCATTATGCAGGACCTCATTTCACAAGATAACATTTAAAGTTGGTAGTTGACCTTACGCCATATTTTCAGATTTGCACAAAATAGCAGTCTTATTGCTGAAACTTTCACATATCATCTGCTGCTGCTGTAAATGTGCCACCAGTAATTATTCATATCTATACATGTTATATATTATTAATCAACAGTGCTTATGTAGACCCAGCTTCAGTAAATGTCCAGTCAAAATTCCTTTGCATAGTACCATTCCAATGACATTTCAGGTGACACCTTCATTATCCAGATTATTAAACAATACAAAAATTGTATCATTAAATTGATGCTTTTCTTTGATTATAAATGTCTTTTCAGTGTAAAGAAATTCCAGGAATCAAAATCTTCCACTTTGAGTCTGCCCTATACTATGCCAATGCTGAGCATTTCAGACGCAAGATATTCAGTCAGACAGGAGCCAATCCTGTGACCCTGAAGAAGGCCAGAAATAAGCTGGAGGAAAAACAAAAGAAGATGGAAGAGAAGATGAAAAAAGAAGAGGAAAAGAACGGAAAAGTCCATGAGGTATGACAGGGCCACGGTAACTTGAAAAGCATCATTGCGTATTGCGAATAGCGATATCACATAGAGGCTAAATTATTATATGGGAAGAGTATGAGTGAGTTATGGAATTGAGACGCTTGCGCTCCATCGCAATGTGTGATGCTTTCGAGTTATGAGGCCCAGGTCTACGTCTCCTGCAAATTATGTTATGTTTAGAGATCATTATATTTATGTTTACTGAATGCATTTTTTTATCTTTGTTCAGAACATATAATTGTATTAACTAGTATTTAGAAACATTTTAAAAAGGGCAATGTATTTTTAATTGCAAAACAAAGAAACATCTGTTGTTATCCATTTCAGTGCAATTTTTCTCTCCTTCATATTAATTTCATAAACAACTTCATCTCCAAGTAACCAATAAAAAAGCAAAAAAAGAAAATAAACATTAACACCTGCTATGAACTCGCTAGATCAAAATAGAAACAATGTTATGGAGTGGGGAAAAACCCAAAGAGAGAGTCTACGTTACAAAGTAAACATCTCATGTTCACTTCCAGAATGGTGATGCCATGACTCAAGAGGGGTCAGTTGTCCTAGAAAACTGTGATGTTGAAGAGCCTCCCAATGACTTCAAGGAGAGAACGGCAGCCTTGAGTTTTAACATACACCATGTCATAATTGACTGCTCCAGTGTGTCCTATATAGACTCTGGGGGAGTTAAAATGCTTAGTCAGGTAGGCTCAAACAGCTGTGTTTATCAATGCTTTTTGTTATTACTTTCTACTATTTTTTGTTCATTGGTGTCACTGAAACAAGTTTTCAACATTTTACATGGTTACATACACTAAGCTGACAATTTATTAAGGCATTCATAATTTTACCATTATGCTTTCAGGTGATGAGTGACTACAAAGAGGTGGGAGTAGCAGTCTTCCTGGCTCACTGTAAACGTAGGTCTATGTATAAGGTCACATTCACAAACCAAGTTGATCCAAGAACTAACAGCTTTTGCCTCAATACAATTTGCTTTGGCTGAGACTTGGCACAGTTATTATCGGATAACTTGTCAAATATCATTTGTCTGGCATATTTTTGCAGTTAAATTACTATAATTTTACTACGGAGATATGTTTCTTAGAAAATCATGCTGAGATTAAAAAAAAAAAAAGAATGACTAGTTACTTGCTATCATACCCAGTCAACCTGCTGAGAGTGGTTGGACTGAGTAAGGCCAGACCAACATGACTGGAAACACAACCTCAATTTTTCAGGGCGTGTGAGGAAGATGTTTAGGAAGGCAGGGCTACACAAGAAACACGAGCAGGACCTGCTGTACATCACCATTCACGATGCCGTAATTGCTGCCCTGCGAAGTCAGCATGACTTGTTAAACGAGGTAAGAATTCATGTACATGGAATTGGACTTGAGGTGATCCTGAACTACAGGGCACTGGCAGTAACTTATTGCTTTTTCATACACCCCATTTCCATAGATTAGATCGACCTACTTTAGATCGACCTAACTCCCTGGGGGTTCACGCTAAATAGCTGTCAGCCAAGCGGGCACGGAAGTTAATTACCCCCTTACAGCTTGTAGTAGGCGGGACGGACATTTATGACGGATTATCTGACAGTAATCTAGTGAGACTCCCCGCCGGGATAGATCGATCTAAAATCTATGGGAATAGAGTCAAAGATGTGTGTTTTTAATAAACTCTAGCACTGGGAGACTAGGGGTGGGTTCACATAATTTTATGGATTTTTGTGGAAAATTTTTTTTATCTGCACAGCAGGATTCCATTCAGTTGGATGATCAAATTAACACCTCTGTTGCCTAGTTTTAATTTTTTTTATGAGGGAGGGCTGATGTATTTGAAATATTTTCAGGTACTTTGTCAGATTTTTTTTTACAATGTTATTCAGTGACAAATGTATGTTGTTGTTGGTTTTGTTTTTTTTTTTCTAAAAATATTTGGCTACTCGGATCAATCATATTAAATATTATTTTATTGTTCTGTGTATTATTTGTATAATTTTTGTTGCATACTAATAAACCTCACTTTAAGTCTCTTCATATGTATATTTTGTGTATCATATGTCAGTGGTATTCTTTACTAACACAATTTGGCCTTCCTTAAGTTAACCAAAGACATGAAACAAATGATCATATTCTGGAAAGTAAGTTTATGGTCAAAAAATTTCACTCCAGTTCAGTTCATAGTGTCTATAATCAGTTTTCTGTTGCTTCTTTTACACTCTTTCTATCTATTGCCCTCCATAGTACACAAAGAGTCTAGTAAGTATATATATTTATATATACATATACATGTGTTTTATGTAGATCCCTTTGGCATCATACACATCTTGCAGTTTGTGGACGTGCTCACACAAGGACCGTGCATGTCAGTCCAAATTATGTTGTTTCAAACATCATTTTCCATGTCATCTTGTAAGTCCCATGTGATGATGTCAGTAAAGATAGATGTATTTCCAGACTGGTTAGGCTGATTTCACTTTATACCTTTCTAAGCAAACTGTGTGATTATACAGCGTGATCAATATACATGATAATGATTTATTACTGAGATAAGAAACTGAGACAAGATTACATGTCCTGGAACCTTATATAATAGCAATTAAAAGACAGTGATTTAATAGCTCAAAGGATGTATTTTTTATAACACGTGTTCAAAATGACTGTCAAAGTTGTCAATCACCATGACAACTTTGACATATATATACTTTCTGTGTGGAACTTTTGTCTCAGTTTCTTGCCTAATTTATAATGAATCATTATCACAAAAATGTATATTGAGACACCCTCTACTTAATAGCTTACCATAAGATGACACAAAAAGTCATGCCTCAATCTTTATCTAAATGGCAGTTGTCCTGCTCAGGACAATCAAGGAATCAGACTTGCTCCCAGTTATGAATCTGCTATATGGTTCATAGTAATTTATATCAACCCAACTTTACTGGAAATGCACTTTCAAAGATAGTCATGTGATTTGAACTTGCCAGAATAGACTTAAAATTCCAATAAATGCTGTTGAGTTCAAACATACTTCATTTTTGGTGTTCTCAAGCAAAGTGTGAGCACACCTGTGGTTCCAAACTGTTTGACCTTCATTGACCTTGACCTGTATAAGGCTTAAAAGTTACCTTCACAATTTCCTTACAATAGATCTAATTTAGGCGACCACATCATTTTTATTATCTGTAGCTTGATATTCAAATTAACCTACTGCTTGTTAAGCTTTTTACAGGGTAAAGGAAAAGGTGTTGTAAGCATCATATATGTGTTTTGAATTATGTACAAATCGGTGTAAGGTAAAACATTTTAATTGTGCTGAATTGAAAAATGGAACCCCTGTTGTAGGAATTCAAGAGACAGTGGTGAAAATGGGGATCTGCCTATGTGCCTTTGAAATCTATCCTCCTTATATAAAAAAAAGTTGACAATTTCAGATTGTAGTTTCGGATGTAGACGAGTCCTCTCATAAACACACAGCAGGTACTTATAACTTGCAAGACCAGGTAAAGTTTGCAGTGGCAGGCATAGTTGGCAAACAGGACTGTGCATGTGCATACTTGAGAACATGACCAAAAGCATGTCCTACACCACATGATAAAATGCATTTGTGCATATAAGCTACTCCCCTGACACTTATAATATAAAACCTTTGCTATAAGATAAAGCTTCAGGCCCGTAGCCAGGGGTTCGGTGGGTTCAAAAGAACCCCCCTTTTTGCTGGAAAAAGGTCCACTCTGGGTAAAATGTGACCTAGGTACAGGGGGATTATATGGTAAAAGGTCCACTTTTTCAGAAAAAGAATCCACCCTTTGAAATTGCTGGCTACGGGCTTGAGCTTTGTATGAAAAAAGTGTGCTATCCTATATATAGTTAATAACTTTTGGACATACATACAATTATGGCATGATATTAGGCGCACAGCTATTTTTTGAAATACACTGTATAAGAGAAACAATATAAAGTGTATACATACACTCACACATGTAGTTATCTGCTTAGTTATGACATGTACTGTTCATTTAAAGCATGAGGTATGCCTTGATATATATTGAGAGGCTAGAAAAAGTTAATAATTTCCCAATTTATTCACTTCAACAGTTCAAAAGCTTTGGAATTGAAATTTTGCACAGAATTATAATGCATTATATTTGCTCAACTCTGAATATTTGAAATGTAAGAATAAAATGGTTTTAATATCATCATAACATTAAAAAAATGAAAAAAGAAAAAAAAAAAACGAGTTTCAAAGCTGCCAGAGACTGGCACCTGTAAGAAGTCACATAAGCCGGCATGGCATTTTGGGCATAAGATTGAATTTTTTTTTTTTTTTCATCATTTATTAAAAGCATCATTTTCCTAAAATATCCCAAATTATATTGTAATATTTTCAAAACGAAATTATTGAACTTTGTAATTAGTAACACTAAATTTTTAGCCACTTGACATGTAGTTGCAAAACAAGTTCTCTGTATTTTGGATACATATGAATGAAGTTATACAGCGACCTTGACACTGACCTTCACCCATTGGCATGGATCAAGCATGCAGAGTATTTGTATTGATAATGATGTGTATCATTGCATGGGCAGGTGAGAAAGCACATGCTTAGGTTGCTTTGAAGTAAGCGCAAAGTTTTGACTTCATTAAACATTGCAACTTGGGTAAATCTCCATTGGATGAACAATTTTAAATACAAATATTGGAAGTGGAAGTGACCATATATTTTCCGTTATATGTATCTGTCCATGTCGTCACTGCATGTTGCTATCTGACACAGTTAATATTTGCTCATCCCGTTTCATATTTTTGCTGCAATTCAAATTTTCTTGAGAAATTTTTATTTGAAAAAAGGCAGGTTGAATAGGAAAATTTGGCATGATTGTATAATTTTTATGAAAAAAATTGTCTGTACATATATATATATACCCATCACCTGTATCTGTTGTTGCCACCGTTGTTGCTGAGCTGTTTCAGAATTTATACTGCAAGCGGTGCAGACAATTGGCATTCAGCCAGGGCCTTTGTATAAAATATTCCCATGAAATCATTTGCATTCTTACAAATGTTTTAACATTAAAATGTCTGTATTAAGGATGTCTGAGCCCTTTTATAACTCCAACTGAATCAAAAACAAACTGTTTCTGATGAGTTTTGTTCCTCAAATTGCCACAGAGACTGTACTGGTGGCTTGTGTCAGGGATTTGTAGATCACAGTGCTTGACATGGTTTTAATTCAGTAGAAGTTAGTGTGGTTTGCTTATTGTAACAGCAAAAGGAGAATACCTCTGACATAAGTGGTTGCATTTCCAGCCAATTTGTGGTGGTTCAACTTAGTTTGCAGTCCATATGGTTATTTTCCCTGCCCATTAGAAGTCAGTATAATAGCATGTTACTGACCTTAGTGAGTTACTTTGAAGTTTACATTTGAATAATTATTTAGCATGGTAAAGGGACAACAGAGGGATACGGTTACTTAAATTTCCTGGGGAAAGTTTAAAATGTTTGATTTAATGTATCGTTTCTAATTGGTAAAAGCATACAGTCACTAAGTTGTGTCATCCCAACTAAACTAGAAGTGTGATCTATGGACTGTGAAATACCCTGTTAAGTTACATACATGTTCTAATAACTTGTGCTATATATGCATGTCCACTTCCAACTAAATATATGTGACATATATGAAACACTAAAAACAGCTAACTGTAAATTTCAAACTGAAGTGTCCTTGTTCAGGCATGATATTTTTCAACATTTGGGCAAATCTTTTTGTTATACAGCTTGCTGTTTTTAATGAGACAATTTGTCTAAAAGTCAATATAATTATCCCTGGTTTCGATTATTCATTGTTATTTTGCAAAAATTATACATTCTTAAAATACTTGAGCAACCATTTGCAAGCTTAAGTCTTAGTTTCAGTCAATATTATTATGTAAAGTAAATTGAAATAACCATGATCTTAATGTCATATTTAGAATATTTTCTTTGCCTAATAGATATAAGCCACTGTTTTCAGATCATTTAAGTCTTATTAAAGATTATTTTGATTCTTTTTAATGAATTGAATTATGTATGGACTAAGTAGTGCAATAGGCAATCAGTTTGGGACTAGCCGTTCTGGACCTGCTGTCCCATACTGCATGTTGCCAATGGTGAGCTAGAATCCTAGTCAGGAGCCCTGTTAAGGGGTGTTGCACAAAGATACGCAAACCCAACCTGACTAGCCCCATCACCTTTATCACCAGTATGTATACGTATATGAAAGTACACTTTTGATTTCATCATGATGCTGTTAATGCTACTTTCCCATTGCATGCTACAGCTGAAGAGGGACGCCTCAGTGAGCTGTGTCCATGAAGAGGTGACAGTGGGACGGAGGCGTACAAACAGCTTACGAAACCGCGCCAGCACAGAAGCCATGCAGCAAATTCCAGAAAGTGCAAGTGATGAAGATGGTGATGAAGGCTTGAAGGTAATCATATACTGTTGACTTCATAGTTTAGGCCTTGTGCATTCACTGAATTTCTTTTTCTTTATCTCCGAATATGAAGAGATTCAGAAATCCGAAGAATATAACGTACATAACTATATGAATAATGAAATAATAAAAATTCTGTGGTATGATCTTTAAGTAGAACTTAAATACATGCAAACATTTGCTAATCAGATGTGCTCAGTAGTCTATTTTAACCATGGGTTTTAGCTTTCCTATGTTCTTACATTGTTTTTAATATTCCGCACATTTTAACTGAGTTGCATGACACATTATGTTAATACACAAACTTCCAGTTTTTGGCACGACGCAGAAGTGAACCAATTCCTGAGGATTTCCAAGGTAGCCATGTAATTTTGAAAGGCAATGGGCTGTGATTTGTAATGGCAATTTAAGCTGCTTTTATTTAATGAAAGTGCCAAAATTTGCTGCTAGATAAATAAGATATATATATATATATTATGGGCTTAATTTGTCAACAATTTGTTTGAATCAAATAATATGACCAAGTGATCAAGCGTAATTGGTTTGAATCAGTCATAAATTTAATAAAAATTGCTTTTAAATAAAATTCTGTAGGTGGTTAAATGGTAACATAGCAATTTTGCCAAATTTGTGTTTTCCTCATTCCCTTAGGTTAGAAACTTTTAAACTATCATCCTCTGTTTGCTTGTATATTTGAAAAGATACCAACCTTGTTGGGAAGTAATTTGGAAAAGATGAAAACCCAGGGAGAAATAAGAACCCTCTGTTGATTCCGTCTTGTCAAACCAAGGAACAATAACTGGACATTTTAACTCTTGATGAGCTTGTCTCAATTTTCAGCACTGACCACAGGTAACAAATCCTCAATTCATTGATAAAAAGTTGGCCTTATTCAAAGCAGATTATGTGAAGAATATGTTACAGATGTTGTAACTGCTATGCTTCCTAGTGTACAGTCGATATTGTCATAGACTGCTCTCCTCAGTTCCTCTCCCAACCCCGACAACACCAGCCCCAGCTTAGCACTTAGAGATGCAGTTGCTGTTTTACATGAGAAATTTTTACATGACTGTGACATTCGACTGTGGAATTTGACATGAGTGATGATAATGTGTTCCTCGCCAGACATGCACTTTGTATTTGCCAATGGGAGCGAGTTCACACCTAGGTGCTGAGTAGCACACATCATTGCCTATGTAATGTAATGTAATGCAAGTGAAGTAGTTAAGCTGCCCAGCTTAGTGGTTCCACTCAGCCCTACAGTTATCCTCCTCTGCTGCTGAGCCACCATTTAAGGGGTAGGGTAGTCCACAAGTTGGATTGCAATGCATGTGATAAATTTGTGGAGAGAAGGGAAACTAAAGATAACTGTGGTTCTCCAATAGACCGCAACCCTGTTGTTTACAACTAACATTTATTACAGGAATAATGTGATTGTTTTAATTCTTCATCTTAAAATGAGATTTTATATGATATATGCTAAAGGTAGAGGTTAAATTAAAATACTTAAGCTCACTAACAAGAGACCCATACCCTCATCTTAATGAAATAAGGTAACACATATTCTCTCTAATGAGGATATTACAGAATGTAGCCACCTATGAAAGTCTAAGTGGTCCAGTGGCAAGCAAAAATTTCAGAATAATTGTGATTACTGTCATTTTGGTGGTATAATGGAATTTATCATATATTTATATGTTGTTTACAGTGTATTTATTGTGAATCTCATATAAACTTTTGTTATCCTTTTAACTGTCCATGGATAAGTGTGTTGACTGCCTGCCTCAGACTTTCCAGGGCACAACTCTTAGAATAATTTCAGATATGTGCATATATAGTATTCAAACATCTTTTATTATTAATATAGGATTCACTTACACTACAAAAGTTTTGTCTTGTTTTTTAATATCTTACACCTTACTGATGTTTCATTTGTTAAATTTCAGTGTGAGGAGTCAACATATCTATAGCTATCAGCCATCAGTTGATTTCGTCCAATTCGGAACAAGGGACTGATTTTTGCATATGGTACTCAGGGAATATGCCAGTTGAAGATATGAGATATTAATTGATCCAATTTCTGTTTCTGGGTGAGGAGCCAGCTATGAGGAGTTTGAAGTGGCTGTGAAATAACACAGTTACCAGTCCTATTGTGCTTTCTTGCCAAAATGTTAATGCTGGATAGTTTTATAAGGTTGTTGTGAATACAATTGTTCTTTGACTCCTGGAAGGTGATGTTAACGATATTGTTTATAGAGCCTAAAAAGTTTATAAGTACTTACAGTTTGGACAGATGTAGGAAGTTATTTACTGTACATAGTTGCGATACATTCAATCTTCAAATTCAAATTTTTGCTTGTTTGTTATGTTGTCTTTCTGGCTTTGTTAATATATTATATGTAAAAAAATCACAAAATTGTTTATGTGGTAAGTCTGCTGGTGATGAAAGACTATAATTAACAGAGTAATAAATTAATTTTGATCTTTTACAAAACCACTTAGGGTAAACTATGAGAGACAGCATATATATAGGAATGTTATCTTTAATTTACAGACACTATAAGTGATTATAAAGTAACTGGTTATTTTTGATGTTTTCTGTTCAGTGCCTGTTTGTTTGATAGCTCTGCAGTCTGGTTTTTGTTTTCTTATAAATCACATTTTTTTGTTAAGTTCTTTTTACAATTTTGTACAGACAAGCCTTTTTTGCCTCTTAGAAAAGAACATATTCAGTACAAGTATATATAGGCATATATGAGAAAGAAATGATTTAAGATGTTGTTGATATAATGAAGGATAGTATGTGTATATGTACTATTACCAAAGAAAAATTGAATGTGGTGTGCATTACTGCATGGGACATTTTGCTCAAGGTTACTATCCCTGAAATAATTGCACAATTGAAGGATTAAAATGGTGGGTGAATTTTCTGTGTCAGAAGCAAAATCAACGTGAATTATCAGCATATCAACACAGACCAGTAAATTTATTGTAGGATAATTGTTGAAATTATCATGGATACATATTTTTATGAATGTATTTGATTTAATAGATCCTGTACTATGGAATAATATTAATTCATTTCATCATGACAGTGCTCTGAGATTTTTAGAATTTTTGCTGTATGCAAGATTTTTCTAGTAGTAAATGCATTAGAGAGTCACCAAGTTGAGTATAAATTAACATTGAGCACTCTGCAGAAGAGAATTTCCATATAACTTTATGGTGAATGCTGTGACTGTATGACCCAAACCATAGCATAGGACAAACAGAGAACATGTTTCTAAGCCTGAGACACAGACATATTAGACCAACAGGGATTTGGTATGCTGACAAAAGATGTGAAGGGTTAATATTTTATCCATGATTTGAGTTGCATTTTTTTTTTATTTCGATTTGATTTTAGATATGTGGAACAGGACAAGTACTGGGTCCTCTTTCAGAAAGAATCCAGACCCTCCCGATCTTTCCACATGCAAAAATGTAATTTCTTAAAAGTATTATCTGATCTACTGAACAACTTATGATTCATTGTTCATTAAGGTTCAGGCTTAGTTAGGAGCAGATGTTTTTACCATTTGTATGGGAATGGGGTTTCTGGTATTAAACCAGCCTGTTGCCTCATTGAATTTTTGACTCCTGTTTCAGGAAAGACCAGAGTAACAAAATGGGGGAAAACAAGATCATAAATTTATGAGGTGCAAAATCAGAGAAATAGAGTTCAGTTTTTTTAATTAAAGGTTAAAAACATGTTCTTATTGTTAAGATTTGTTAAAATTGTGTTTGATTTCTTTAATTTTGAGTTTGTGCCAAATAAAACAAGAAGATAATGTAAAATCAGTGATCTTTGTTTCAAGTTTTATTGTTATTTATTAGAACCACCAGCGTGTGTGCTGGCAGTACTCGTGGTTTTAGTCACGACCCGTTTCTTACATCACCGCTGGCTCCCCGGCTCCTGCAGCTTTGCCGGCTTTGCAGGATGGTGTGGGATACAAGTCACTGTTACAGCTTCTCCTCCTAGACCGCAAGGACCTGTGTCCCCATCTCTTGGATTTAGGTCACATATAATCTCAACTTGAACCCCCTGTTTTCTTTCTTTTTTTTTTTTTCTTCTTTTTTTTCCTCATTTGGTGCATTGGCCTGGACGTGATGCTCGTTGAAGCGCACCATTGTCAAAGTTTTTGAAAATTCAATGCTAAATACCTCCCAAACCTGAGGAATTATGGGAAAAATTACTACAGAAGTCTGACCAAAAGACATATGTGGAGATTCCAAATATGCCCTTGGATTTGACCTTTGACCTTTATTTCTAGGTCAAATGAGACAAAATTTTCTAAAATTGGGAATTTTCTGTAAAAAAAAATTGTTTGTGCCAATTTTCAGAAACTGCACAGACCTAAGCTCTCATATTATACTGAGGGGTTACAATTAGGGACTCCTTTCATCTTTGGGAGTTTGGGGTCAATCAGTGCATTTTCAGGGGAGAACCAGCCATTAGATGCCGAAACTGAAAACTCTCTACCGGTAATTCTAGAACCATAAATGCTAGACCTCTTGTTTTTTTTTTTTTTTTTGTTTGTTTGTTTTGTTTTTTTTTTTTTTTTTGCATTTTGTAGAGCTTGTAATACTTTTTTGTTTTCCATACGGTTTATTAGTTGTGCTATATCAAAAAGTAAAACGTGGTGGTCAAAATAAAATGTGAAATATGGTAATTTGCCATGAATTTTGAATGTCGGGAAAAGATAACAAGGCTTAGCGAAGGGCAGACAAATTACTGTCAAAAATGACAGAATTTCATAAAATTCTAACAACTGGAATTTCTGAGCACCTATTTCATTAATTTCAACCAAAAACAATCTTTTCATTGTTTCAATTAATTTCCTCTGTACAAAATTCATGGCACATTACTGTAACTCCAAAATTAGCAAAGATACACCCATAGTTACTATTGAACTTGAATAGGAAGTCATATACTGGCAATCTAACTGTGACCTTGAAATTGACCTTTGACCTTCTTTTCACCATGAACTTAACTTTGCAAGGTTTCCGTCCCTTATATCTCCAAAACTGGCAGAGATACACCCATAGTTACTATTGAACTTGAGTTGGAAGATATATATTGGCAATCTAACGTTGACCTTGAAATTGACCTTTGAGGTACTTTTCACCATGAACTGGCACAGATACATGTATGCACATAGTTAAAAACTGTGATCTTGAAATTGATCTTAGACCTACCTTTCTGCCATGAACCGCACTTCACACATTTGGATTTAAACTTTTACTTTTCCCCTTGATTATTCAACAAAAATAATTAAGCTGCAGGACTGATTCGTAGGTCTTATATACAGATTAAGCTACTCTACCTGTATAAAAGACCTACGAATCAGTCCTGCTTGTTGTCAAAGCAAAATATGACACCGTCTTCATCCGATTTGTATAACATTGGATAAAATATGCTTTTGAGGAAATGGTACGGTAAAGCTGATTTTCGAACTCGACCTGTATTTTATGAATATTTATCAATTTTGAAAGTTTGAAAACAAAAGGTAAAACCATTTCCACTTAGCATTATAAAACCGAAATTGTATGTCGACGACGAAAACAGGCGCAAGTGATGGCTATATGTACAGAAAGATCTGTGTCTGTACATAAAAAGATTTGTGAAGAAAACGGGAACATCGGGCATACAATTCTGCCCGTATTTGTAACGATTTGTTCTTCAAGTTTGTGAATTTATCTGCGATTTCAACTGCATTTTCTGAAGGACAGTGACTCCTTCTTTCGGACAAAAAACCAGATCAACAATCCAAATTTCCTGTAGAACTATTCATTTAATCAAAAAAAATCATAAACGAAAATATATCAGAGTTTTAAAAATTTAGAAAATAAATTCATCTGGATGATTTATGTATAATATTGTCTTAAGAGATTCATTGTTTTCATCCAAAAGAAAAAAAGGTCAAAGAGAAAAAAACAAAAAGAAAGAAGAAAACAGCAAGAGCAAAGGCATGGTAGTTATTCCGTATTTGAAAGGTCTCTCGTACATGTAATCACTCGAACACATTTTTAAACAAGGCAGCAAAGCTGTCAAATGTACAGACAAAGAACAGAAAATAAAGATGCNTTAAGTTTTATTGTTATTTATTAGAACCACCAGCGTGTATGCTGGCAGTACTCGTGGTTTTAGTCCCGACCCGTTTCTTACATCACCGCTGGCTCCCCGGCTCCTGCAGCTTTGCCGGCTTTGCAGGATGGTGTGGGATACAAGTCACTGTTACAGCTTCTCCTCCTAGACCGCAAGGACCTGTGTCCCCATCTCTTGGTTTTAGGTCACATATAATCTCAACTTGAACCCCCTGTTTTCTTTCTTTTTTTTTTTTTTTTTCTTCTTTTTTTTCCTCATTTGGTGCATTGGCCTGGACGTGATGCTTGTTGAAGCGCACCATTGTCAAAATTTTTGAAAATTCAATGCTAAATACCTCCCAAACCTGAGGAATTATGGGAAAAATTACTACAGAAGTCTGACCAAAAGACATGTGGAGATTCCAAATAAGTCCTTGGATTTGACCTTTGACCTTTATTTCTAGGTCAAATGAGACAAAATTTTCTAAAATTGAGAATTTTTTGTAAAAAAAAAATTGTTTGTGCCAATTTTCAGAAACTGCACAGACCTAAGCTCTCATATTATACTGAGGGGTTGCAATTAGGGACTCCTTTCATCTTTGGGAGTTTGGGGTCAATCAGTGCATTTTCAGGGGAGAACCAGCCATTAGATGCCGAAACTGAAAACTCTCTACCGGTAATTCTAGAACCATAAATGCTAGACCTCTTGTATTTTTTTTTTTTTTTGCATTTTGTAGAGCTTGTAATACTTTTTTGTTTTCCATACGGTTTATTAGTTGTGCTATATCAAAAAGTAAAACGTGGTGGTGAAAATAAAATGTGAAATATGGTAATTTGCCATTAATTTTGAATGTCGGGAAAAGATAACAAGGCTTAGCGAAGGGCAGACAAATTACTGTCAAAAATGACAGAATTTCATAAAATTCTAATAACTGGAATTTCTGAGCACCTATTTCATGAATTTCAACCAAAAACAATCTTTTCATTGTTTCAATTAATTTCCTCTGTACAAAATTCATGGCACATTACTGTAACTCCAAAATTAGCAAAGATACACCCATAGTTACTATTGAACTTGAATAGGAAGTCATATACTGGCAATCTAACTGTGACCTTGAAATTGACATTTGACCTTCTTTTCACCATGAACTTTACTTTGCAAGGTTTCCGTCCCTTATATCTCCAAAACTGGCAGAGATACACCCATAGTTACTATTGAACTTGAGTTGGAAGATATATATTGGCAATCTAACGTTGACCTTGAAATTGACCTTTGAGGTACTTTTCACCATGAACTGGCACAGATACATGTATGCACATAGTTACTAACTGTGATCTTGAAATTGATCTTAGACCTACCTTTCTGCCATGAACCGCACTTCACACATTTGGATTTAAACTTTTACTTTTCCCCATGATTATTCAACAAAAATAATTAAGCTGCAGGACTGATTCATAGGTCTTATATACAGATTAAGCTACTCTACCTCTATAAAAGACCTACGAATCAGTCCTGCTTGTTGTCAAAGCAAAATATGACACCGTCTTCATCCGATTTGTATAACATTGGATAAAATATGCTAAAAAAAGCAGAAGAAACAATTACTTTCAGAAAAATAGTCCAATTAAGCTGATTTTTTAAAACTCATCCTGTATATAAGGTTTATATATTAGTTTTGTAATTTTGAAGATGAAAGGTTAAATGGTTTTCATTTAATTTGTATAACAGAGGACAAAATGTTCTGAAAAAAAACGCAAAAAAATAGCATAATTTTTATAAAAATGGTCCAACCAGGCTGATTTTCAAACTTGAATTTTATAAAAAATTCATCAGTTCTGTAAGTTTGGAGAAAAGGTGAAACGCATGCTGTAAAAAAGCGAAAAAATACCACAACTTTTGAGGAAATGGTACGGTAAAGCTGATTTTCGAACTCGACCTGTATTTTATGAATATTTATCAATTTTGAAAGTTTGAAAACAAAAGGTAAAACCGTTTCCACTTAGCGTTATAAAACCGAAATTGTATGTCGACGACGAAAACAGGCGCAAGTGATGGCTTTACAGAAAGATATGTGTCTGTACATAAAAATATTTGTGAAGAAAACGGGAACATCGGGCATACAATTCTGCCCGTATTTGTAACGATTTGTTCTTCAAGTTGGTGAATTTATCTGCGATTTTAACTGCATTTTCCGAAGGACAGCGACTCCTTCTTTTGGACAAAAAACAAGATCAACAATCCAAATTTCCTGGAGAACTATTCATTTATCAAAGAAATCATAAACGAAAATATATCAGAGTTTTAAAAATTTAGAAAATAAGTTCATCTGGATGATTTATGTATAATATCGTCTTAAGAGATTCATTGTTTACATCCAAAAGAGAACGGAAGAGATCAAAGAGAAAGAACAAAAAGAGAAGAAAACAACAAGAACAAATGCATGGTAGTTATTCCATATTTGAAAGGTCTCTCGGGATTACTCGAACAGATCTTTAAAAGATATAACATCAGCACAGCCATGAAACCACACCAGACACTTAGAAACATCCTAGTACATCCGAAGAATAAGAGTGAAAAAGAGGAGTACAGTGATGTTGTGTAACAAAAACCCCGTGTGATTCTTGTCCCGCCACATACACAGGGAAAATATCTAGACACTTTGGCTACCGTCTAAAGGGACATAAGAAAGATTGGACTGTAACATCAAAAAGAACATTCACGAGAGCAGGGAGACAGGTTTCACTATCAGAATAGATATCAGCAATAACGGACCGTGCACCAATCACTTTATATTATAAATTGGGAGGAGGCGAAGATCAGTGAAATGACAATCTTAAATGCAGAATTATGGAATCAATCTGTACCAAGAAATCTACAATGACAATGAACCTTGAAGAAGGGGTGGGGGCACAGGCTTAGTCCAGTCTATAATATTATTTTGACCACAACTCCCCCTAGTGGTCAAACAATAGCACTGAGAAAGACTGCAGGAAAGAGCAGTTAAAATTTCTGCACACACAGGTAGGCTAATTTAACATCGTTCGANGGTAGGCTAATTTAACATCGTTTGCCTCGTTCTCTTTTGGATGAAAAATGAATCTCTTAAGACAAGATTTTTTAAAAAGCTTGTCGAGCACTTTGTTGCTCCATTTCTAAGTGGTTCACGGGTAAAAAGACCGATTGTATTTGTATGAATTGGTCTTAATCCAAATACGCGTTACTTACCGTAATAATGTTACTGCATGATGTTAAATCACAATTCGCTTAACTTTAAGATATCGTAGAAACTTGAGCTAAAATGGTATTTTCATTAATTACTAGATTGAATCAGTGCAACTTGCATTTATATATGCAGCGCAGTCAAGCATGTCTGTGGATCATGTTGATACAATGTACCCCCCCCCCGCACTGATACCGTGTACGTCCCGGCACCGATACATTCCCACCCCTATACTTCCCCAACATCGATAACCCACCCCCACCACCCAGTAAATTTTGCATTATTCACATGGAATTCCCCTAAATTTCGGTATTTTAGAAGTCGAACGGTGACATTTGATTCAACTAGTCAAAATTCTAATTTCAAGAGGGGACCATCGATGCGTTTTTTTTTTCAGAAATCGAAGGGGGGGGGGGGGTCAGGACCCCCTTGATCCCTCCCCCCCCCAAAAAAAAATCCGCCACTGGGGGTGGTGAATTCCCTTGGGGCCACGAAGAAGTTGTATTTTAATTTATCTGCATACTTAATTTTTCAGTATGCGGAAGGGTATGCTTCACATGTAAAGCCTATAAACAACCCCTGGGCATCAATATAAGAATAATATCAAATTAACCGAAACACACAAAACGAACCACGTACTGTGGAAAGAAAAGCTGCGTTCATCATACATTTATTTACATCGAAATTATTCTACCGATAGGCCTATATTTGTTTCTTCCTTTATACATCAATCTAAGAAGTTGTTTATAAACATGTTGTTCATTTAGCTATGACTGTTTCCATTGTTTTCTAAATTTCTTCTCTTTTTTGTATTTACTGAATTTTATATAATTTACATATAATTTACATTTGTGTTATTGCATCAAATTTGAAAAAAATACCTATTTTGTGCATCATCATTTTTTATCTTGTTTGTACCTTTAACATCTTTCCTGTATTGTTGTTATTGAAAAATTGCCACTGCTTCAGGGTCGATTAGCATACATTGTTAAAAGTATTTGTGCTCTTATTGACTCAGCCAGGTAGCGTGCGGGTGACTTTGATCACCCGTATGTTGGCAACACAGCGCCCTGTGTAACAAGAAGACGTGGAGACCAGCTAAGACGCTCGAAAGTGATCGACAGTGTTACTTGGAAGGTCGATAATAATAAGTCATAACTTCAACGACAACGGCTCTGATTCTTCTAACGGCTTTTGGCTTATTTCTGGGTAAGTAGGTCATTTAAGTTCATCTAAGTTCAGATCCCCATGTTCCATGGTGCTGTTCACGAAATGCGTCCCAAGAACCTGTCAGAAATATTTTATATCAAAACACTGACATTGGCTCTTGGCTATACAGCAAATCTCTCCCTGTATCCCAAATTAATCCCCTGCTTCACAGGAATTGGAACGCTTGGAAAACGAATCATGACCCAGTGTCACAGATATGCAGATACAGAGTTATTTTCTGACAGTCTTCCAAATTATCTTTGTTGATCCATCCTCCATTTTGACCGTCTTCTGACCGATAAAAAATTAGATACCCGTCAATATAAACTTGAACATCTGATCGTCTTCCGGAAGACCCAGAAGACGGCCTAAATCCGCCCTTGGCTACGAAAGACTAAGGGACCATTCACATCGAGAAGAGCCGAAGTCTAGTAAGGCCGCGACCTAAATATGGCGGATCTACATGAAAGGAAGACCGCTAATCCTGTTAATCCTTACCACGCGTCGTTCCTGCAGGAGCACAGTAGTTAAATCTCAGCTCAATTCAACCGGTCGAGGGACAACGCGTGGGGGGGGGGGGGGGGGGGGGGGGGGGGGCAGTGGCGGATCCAGAGATATTTTCTGACAGTATTCCAAATTATCTTTGTTGCGCCACCCCCCATTTTTGACCGTCTTCTGACAGAAAAAATTAGATACCCGTCAATGTAAACTTAAAAATCTGACCGTCTTCCGGAAGACCCAGAAGACGGCCTAAATCCGCCCCTGGGGGAGGCGGAGAGACCATTAAAAGATTAGCGGTCTTCCTTTCGTGTAGGTCCGCCATATTTAGGTCGCGGCCTTACTAGACCTCGGCTCTTCTTGATGTGAATGCTCCCATAGATTACAACACTTTTATAGTCATTAAAATATGCATTTATGTTGACCAACTTATGTTGGCTAAGTTTAACTCTTCCTTATATAACATTGTAAGTTTTACTCTTAATTTAACAAATTCAGTGTATTAGTTTTGTTCATTATATGTATAGGCCTATACTAGTTATCTTATATTTGAAATTAAAAGTGTGCATAGATAATATAACATATTAGATAACACATTAATGGGATAATAACTCTTCGTATGAGATCTATATTTCACAATAAAAACAATGTGAACAACTCATAGAAATATAATATATTCTGTTTTACCACAAAACGGCAGTTATAGCTATTATTCTGATATCTGAGCTTGTCTTTAGACCACGTGACCTCCAATGATGGCTATACTCTGTTAAAATCTCCAGGAAAATTCATTTTTTGGCCGAAACGAAGAGTTATTATCCCTTTAAAATGGGGTGAGTAACATACTGTGTATGGTTTTTGTGTTCACTCCACCAGGTAACGTGCGTATGATTTGCACGTTGGCACAGCGCTCGGTGTAACAAAAAGGCGTGGAGACCAGCGTAGACGCTCAAAAGTGATCGGTAATGTCACTTGGAAAGCCGATAATATGAAGCCATATATCATAGTTCCAACGGCAGCGGCTCTGATTATTCTAACGGCTTTTAGTTACTACCTTTATGGAGCAGACATTAAAAGCTTATTTCTGGGTGAGTACTGGTAGGTCATTCAAGATCATCTAAGTTCAGATCCCATGGTGCTGTTCATGAAATGCGTCCCAAAAACCTGTCGGAAATCTTTTATATCAAAACACTAACGCTGGTTCTTTGCTACACAGCAAATGCCTCCCTTAACCCCAAAGTAACTCCCTGCTTCAGCGGTATGCGACCGCTTGGAAAACGAGTAATGACCCACTAGCTGTCACAGATATGCTACATGTACGAAAGACAAAGACTACAACATTAGCACTGATGTTTTGGGCAAATCTAACTTAAAAGGAGGTGAGAGTTAACCAAATTTATACTTCCAAACGGTCGCAAATCCCGTGTAAGAGGAGGTTGAGTTTCAAAGTATTGACACATTCAAGGTCTTCAGTGACATTAAAGTTTTGGTCTCTGATTTGTCATCTGATTCAATCATTCAGTAAACATTTTTTGAGTAGTGCCATAATTATGTATGTATCACATCGAATCAAAATCCAATAAACATTTACAAGCCGTCGTTCATGTACTCTGTAGGCACGTAAAATATCTGCAACGTCATTGCCACAAACCCTCATATATGTATATATATATATATATATATATATATATATATATATATATATATATATATATATAATGTGTGTGTATTTGTTACATGACTGCTTTGTGTATCCTGGGTGCATAAATTTCATATTAAATTTCTGCAGTTCATTTTTGGTAAAAAAGCAAGGTAACAAAAGCAGTTTGCATTAGAACCTCTGTGGTACAATAGTAAGTTGAAAATAGGCGGTAGATCAATATTACAAAAGACTGTCATCAATAGGGGGCTAAGAGAAAAGTTGGTGTTCCTTTTTGTCACGATGGAAAAAATCTACCTAAAGCGATTAGGGGCAACATTTGGAGTTCAAAGAATAGATAATGTCGTTTATAATTGCTTTGTATGTGTTCCAGACAACGGAAAAACGATAGAAGGAAAGGCAGACAATGGTGTTTTTGAAAAAACGTCTTTTCTCAATATTCCTCAGACAGTCCAGTTACATATGGAAAATAATCCCATAGGTGTGTAAAGTTTTTATCAAGTCCTCAAAATATTGATAATTGACACATGAGATAAAATGGAACCGACGTTTAAAAATACATAACAGGTGAAAGTACGACTGTGCACATGCATTGTAACATGTACAGATTACTTTTACAGATGTACCATTTGCGTACACAACTCAAACTAAATTGACATGCGCGTGTGTGTGTGTTATAATAACTGTAAATGTGACGTATACCTAAAAGTGCGGTATTATTCTTTATTGTTAAATTAATCGATGATGTGATGTTGTAATGTAACGTGATTATTTCTGGAGTACCATACTATCTTTTTTGTATTGTTCTCGTGTGTGTATTTGCAAGTGGGTGTTTGTACGTTTTCATTTTTGTGTATGATTTTGGTATTTATTCTCATTATATTTTGGAAACCGCAATAAATATATATTAAACAAAAGTCTACAGAATATGGTGTGTAGAGAAATAGTTATAAACTTCGTCTTTAAAGTTGTGTACTTATATGATAATATTTTTTAGCGATGAAGCCAGGCTTGCAAGAAATGCCAAAACAATACTCCTTCACGGTGGTTAGCGGAGCTAGTTCAGGCTTCTTCTCCCCGGGATTAAAGAACTTAGTAGGAAGTGTGCATCATTGGTCCCCGGGGCGGAACATTGTGATCTGGGACTTAGGCCTGTCAGAGGAGCAAGTAGCAGAAATCAAAACATGGTGCAGAGTCACGTACAAAAAAGTTCCATTTCGAACATTATGCGCCGCATTTTCGTAATTTACACACTTACGCTTGGAAACCGGCAATAATAAAAGATATGGTTGATGATATAGGGAATATCCTGTGGATAGACGCTGGGAGTTACTTCAGTGGAAACATGTCATATATAGACGAATTGATGACAAAGGATGGCTATATTCTTATCCAAGGGCAAGACGGTGATGTCACGGTATTTTTGCATGAAAAAATGTGCCAATATATGAACGTGAACAAAACGGCCTTAAAAAGGAAGCCATCATTTGCAGGAGGCTTTAGTGGCTGGTCTAAAAGACCTAATGTTTTTCATAAATTACTACTCCCGTGGTTGAACTGTGCTCTAGAAGAACCATGCATAGCGCCAGCTGGTTCCAGTTTAAGCAATCACCGTTTTGATCAATCTGCATTGTCACTCATCGCCTATTCCAGCGGCATGGACGTGACAGCTCACACGGAACTTCGGTATATTGAAAAAGAATCCAGGAATGGTGATAAAAGTAACATACAGTATGTCAAGAAGAAACCTTGTTGATTAAACCGGGTATTTATTATTTCAGAAAGGTGGGTTTTGTAAACGAAGAGTTCATTCAACCAGATTAATTAATTTTTATGTATGATTATTTGATTTGAGCAGTGAGGAAGTTGATCTTTCTCCTTGAGCTATGTTGTTTCTAAAAATAAAATTTACGGTCGACATAATGAACAGTTAACAAAAATACAAAAAAGTATTTTTCATATTTCAGTCTATATACTGTGTGTGTGTGTGGGGGGGGGGGGGGGGGGTAGCTTTTCTCTTCAAATAGCATACGAAATAATAGACGAAGACACTTGTATTATAATATGTAGGGGTCAGGTATACGGGAAAATTCTTGGTTGTCTGGATCTGCGTTTTAAACTAGTTTTGAGAGGGAGAAACGAACTTGAGAAAGGAAGAAAGCCCCCTCCCCTCTCTCCAGACACCCCAGTAAGAGAGAGGGGGGGGGGCAGTTTCTCCAATCGTCCGCCAATCTCTTTTGACAACATCAGCCTCCCATTGATCGATTTTTACCTTTAATATCTGTATGCATAACCGTTTATGGTTTTTCACGATCTCTTACCGGCCATGGTTGTATAAAAAGGTGTTAGATGAGTTAAGTATTTTAAACTAAGTCTTGTTATTATTTGAACACAGAAAATGCACTGACTTGGTATTTCGATATTTTAATGGGCAAACTGTTTCAGGACGTCGGCCCATACTTCAAGTCACAATATATATATAT